CAAATCAAACAAGAGTTTGTTTCGAGCCTATGATTGGAACTATTTCCCGAAAATAAATATTTCGGGGCGGGGCATTACAACCACCCACCAGCTTCCCCCTCTCTCTCACATAACCTTAGCCATCCCGTCCACCACTGTTCTTCTTAAAATGAAACTAAATTCAATGTTTGCATAATAACTTATATTCTAACCTAAACGCATTGATGTAATTTGTGATTTTTTAAATCTTGAATGGACTCTTGACTCTCTTGAAATGAGAAAGTCTGATAATATATACATTGTAATTTTATTGTTTATTTATTCTTTTATTGTAGTTCTAAAAGTTTTAAAAATAAAAATAAAAATAATGTCCATATGGCACTTTGTGATTGGTTGATGGAATCAATAAAAACAAAAATAACAATTTTGCCCCTACAAATGACAGAAGAATGAGGAAAAATCCAATTTGGACTATGATTGATAAGGAATGCAATTAAAAGAAAACTAACGAAAAGTAAAAAAAACTTCCCTTTAATAAAAATTCCTTTTTAAAGGTATAGTGAATAGTACTAGAGAAATGTATAAATGTGGTTTTTCGTTAAAAGTGAACAGTAGTGGGAGTGTTTTGTTAAAACTCCCTACAATTAATAGCTTTTCACCACATTGGTCTATTTAAAAATAGGGTATCACCACAAGGATCACGAAAAAAATTTAGCCTTATTAAAAAGGCATATTTGTCGATTTGCCCTCTAAACTTGTATAGTGCTATCAATTTCCCTCATGAACTTTACTTTTAGCCTATTACCCCCTTGAACTTTTATAATTAGCCAATTTCCCCTTGAACTTTAATTTTAGCCGATTACCTCTTGAACTTTTATAAATAGCCGATTCCCCCATTGTCATTTACATCCAATTTTTCATTCATATTGAACACGGAAACAACACATGACAACTGATAGGAGCATATTTATGCGACTTAGTTAGCTTGTTTTCTTGCATTTTCATAGTTTGTTTATGTTTATTATAGTGTTTTAAGCTATTTTTCGTGGGTTTGTAGGTTCATATGACAAAGTTGGCAAGAAAGTGCATTTTGAAGCATTTTGAGGCAGTTTTGGGCACCAAATGGATAGCTTATGAATGGAGCAAGATGGATGGACGAATTTGAAGTTCAAGAGGCTAGGAATGTGCTGAAATGAGTGAAGAAATAAATCCAAGTCAAGGAAGATAAGAAATCAGCTCAAAAGAAGGAACATTATCCAAAACCTTATCCAACCTTATCTTATCTTATCCTATCCTAATCCTATCATAATTTAATTCCAGCTGCATGGGGGATTTATTTTCAGATTAGGACACATTAAAATTGGTTTCTAGAAGCCCTTATCCACTCCTACAAAGGTGCCACACCTTATCCCTTGTTTTTCTAGAAATCAGCCACAAAACAACCTTTCTAAAAGGCCTTATCCCTTGTCCTACAAAAGTGACGCCCCAAACCTTTCTAGAACTTCTAGAAACCTGATTATTCCTTTCCCCCTTGGTTGGTTTTTAAAAGCCTTAGCCTTTTCCTTCAAGGATTGTGTGTTATTATCCTATACAAATTAGGCCTTTAAATCCTTTTCCTTTGCTACATAGGGGCTGCGAATTTCAGCCTATAAATATCATCCTTTGCTGCACCATTTAGGCACCACCCTCTACCATATTTTCTCTACACCATTCACCCAAACATCCCTCTTGTGCCGTGAGTTTGCAAAGGAGAAGGAAGGAGACTCTTGGAGCCGTGCATGCCATTCAAGGAGCTTGGATTGTTGGAGCGTTTCTAGCGTTTCTAGGTGTTTTCTATCTTTATGTCAATGTTTAAATTTATTTATCTTTGTTTATTTGCGAACATGAGGAACTAATTTCTTTATAGTTAGAGGGGAATTCAAAGCCATGATCATATGTTTTATATGACTTGATTTCCTCTAGTTATGATTTCATAAATCGTGAATGTGGTTTACTTATCTATTTGATTGATAACTTGTTCTTGTGTGTTAATTAAGGATGCATACTTAGTTTGATGCATGAATTTGATGCGAGAGTATAAGGGAATTTCACCTAATCGTTATTAACTTATATTCATAAGTAGTAAAAGTCGCTAGTCACGATTGTGTTAAGTAAATCCTTGGCAAGAGTAACATGCGTATTCCATAGTTATGAATGCCTCGTCAATGCTTATGATTTCCATTGAACTTAATGATCTTTGATATGTGTCTCCATCATGCGTATTCCATAGTTAGGGTCCTTGATAAGAATAATTTGGTTGTAATGCGTATTCCATTCAATTCAATGAATCTAGGGAAATCTGAGAATTAATTGGTGCAATCTAGTTAATTTGGGGCATTGTTATTCATGGTTTGTTGAAAGAGTAATTGGAAATCAAGTTGTATGCATATGTTTCATGTGTGGAGAAGGAACCCTCTAACTAGCCTTTCACCATTCTATTTCATCAATTTCGGGAGTCTTTAAGTTTGTTTACAAAGTTTATGTTTTAAAAGTTCAATTTCGTCAAAATCAAACCCCTTGCTTTTAAGTCTTGTTTTTAGAGTCAAAACTTGTTTCCTTTAAGTCTTTTGAGTCTTTGAAGTTCTATTTTCGTCCAAATCACTTGTTAGGTCTAGAATTGAGTCTTTTTTATTGTTATTTGCTGTTTTGAGTGTTTTGAGTTAGTTTTGAGTTTATAGAGTCTAGTTTAGTGTTTTTTGAATCTTATATTTGTTGATTAGTATCCCTAGTTAATCCCCGGTCTAGAACGATCCATACTTGCATCATTACTACAATTGTCATCAATAGAGTTTAATTTGTGTGTCAACTTAATTTTCACATCAACAACTATATGAAAGCAAAAAGGGTGAAAAATTGGCTGGATGAAAAAATTGAATGAAGGTTTTTAAAATCTAATGCCAATGGGGGAATCGACTATTTATAAAAGTTTAGGGGGTAATCGGCCAAAATAAAAGTGCAAGGGGAAATTGACTAATTTAAAAAGTTTAAAGGGGTAATTAGCTAAAATTAAAGTTAAGGGAGAAAATTTGCAGCTGCATACAAGTTTAGGGGGCAAATCAACAAATATCTCTTATTAAAAGGGGAACTTTTACGAAAAGCTCATGATACTGTTCACTTTAACGAAAAACAACATTTTTACACTAAAAAGTTAATCCTGGTACTATTCACTTCACATTTTATTTTGTCTTTATCGTTAAAACTTAAAGTTTCTGAGCTATTTTCATTAGTTTTCCTTATTAAAAATCCCATAATGTTGCTTCCTCCATGTTCCCAAAAATTATCAATTTTCTAATCATCACCATTTACAATACCTGGCAAGACCTCACAACGAACTACATATTCAACCAACTCCTGCACTTTGTTTTTTTGAAATAAAAGGGGATCAAACTCCCACTTTTGTTAAACTATTAAAGAAGAAAAAGGTATCACAAAGATGGGAGAATAAAAAAAAAAATCTAATCCCGCAAAAGAAAACTATGCTAATAAAATCATGAAAAGTGGTAGCTGGGAAATCTTAAAAAATTCTTAAATTAAGCTGTAGTTGCAAAAGGAGGACGCTGGTTTGGTATTGCTGTACTTTGAAAAAAAGCTGTTTTTATTGTACTGTGATAATAAGTCCATTTTTACTGCTTCACGTTTTCAGCTTTTTTTTTCATCCAAAACTGTGAAAATAAGCTGTTTTTAAGTGTTTACCAAACATATTTTTGAACTTAGTTTTTTTTGATATCCACATTTTATAAAAGCACATCAGTACCAAATCAATACATAATCCCACCAATGAGAGCCGACATGTTCAGCTACATAATTAGGTAAAGAATCAATAATCTGATTGCTAAATATTCAACTCTTGCACATGAACATATTACTTTCATACGCAAGTTGCCCCCGCACTGCACTCCCAGACGTCATATACATATACACAAATGCTAATGGACACATCGAGTGCAAATTTAAAAGGAAAACATGCAACAAGTGGCTCGTACGCAGCTCAATCGATTAATAACATTCACTCTTTACACCCGTATGCTTGATTTGCTGCTCTTATGCAAACTTTACATTTTATTCCTTCAGTCCTCTATCACCTTACTTAAGATTTTACTGAAAATATACCACTCAAGGATTCCCTACAAGGCAAAGAAAATAGTTAAAACAGCATAGCAGAACATTGTACCTGCAAAATTCCACAAGTATTTGAACGTATTCCTTAACAAAATCCTACGGCTTTCTTGCTTTCATTTTTGCAAAAGTTTGATTGAAATGAAATCTTTGGTTAGGGAAATGTCACTCTATCAAATTAAACGAATACAACGAACATATGATCCTTAACAAGAGTTACCTAGGCTTTCCTTCAAACACATCGTTCACTTCATCGGTACTTGGCTTTACAGGGAATGTAGACAGTACTACTATTACGTACTTCTCTTTTCCGAAAGGATCTTCGACCCTCTTGTACAGTTCATAGCGATGCGGGTAAGAAACCTCAAACACGAAGTAAGAAGTGATGAGAACACTTGCAGATGTCAACCAACGTAAGGTCGTAACATTCCAGGCATGGCACATTGCAGAAGATAAATTACATAATCGATCCATTTTCTTTCGTTGCAAACTAGTACATTCGCAGATTCACCTGGATGCAAGTTTTTTTTTTTAACTTTCAGATGCGAGATATCTCTTCACATCCTCGCAAACATATATTTACGAGTGTGAGAAACTGAGAGTGGTAAAAGGAAGTAGTGGAGTCGAAAATTGTGCTAAGCTTACAGGAGAGCGCCCATATTTGGACATTGGGCTCCTGCGTAATTGAGAAGCTGAAAGACGTAGCACTTTTCGAACGATGAAGCATACTCCAATCTCGTTTGATACTAAATACTCTTAGCCACTTAAACTATAACCTGGGGCCCTGATTACTCGAGACTTGTGTGTCAAGGTAATGATAAAAAAAAAAAAAAAAAAAACCGAAAAAAGAAGCATATGACATTAATAAAACGAAACCAGATTGGCTCCAAACTGTGAAAATAAACAAGTCTAAAACCATACAAATCAAATCAAGTACTGGATGATAATATCACACTTGCCAACTTTACCATAAACTAGAATGTATCCCTCTTTCTCTCACTCTATCCTCTCCTATTCGCCAGAATGCAAATAACGTCGGTATGAAGCTACAATCGATGCTGTGATGTTCATCTATTAAAGAATTTAGTAAAACTGGACGAATTATTGTCATTACAACGAACTAAGTTCCCTAACATGATAAAATGAAAAGTAACATATAATAGAACATCTGTAAAAGTTTGCACTCTTTCTTCCCTAAATGATCGCTGCTAACTCTTCTTCAAGTGCGAATCTTTGAGTTGCTAAACGTTCTTCAGTCCAGCTTCACCGAAGAGAACAGGTAGTGCACAAACCAGAATGAAGAGAGGAACCCGACTGTGCCTGTGGCAAGCATGATTGCCACAACCATGAATAGCGAATACCCCAAGTAAAGAGTTGCAGAGACAGGTCCACTCAGGCTCTTGAGATCAAACACAAGGTAGTTTATGGAGTACAGGAATATGTATATGGCAACCGAACCAGAAGCACAGAATGACTTCCACCACCATTTCCAGTCCTCCACACAAAGATGCATGTAGGTTAGAACCAGAGATACCTCAGCACAAACCACAACCAGAAGGATCAATACGATCAAGAGAAACCCAAACACATAATAGACACGGCCCATCCAAATGCTGGACATGATAAAGAAGAGCTCGATGAATAGGGTGCCAAAGGGGAGAGTGCCAGCCCCAAGAACCAACAGCCAGGATGGGTATTTCTGTGCAGGGATTTCCCTGGGAATTTGATTGGTTCGAACTGGGTACTCGATGTGAGGCGCCTTGGCCCCAAAATATCCACCAACAAGAGTAAGGGGAACGGAAATGCAGAACCACAGCAAAAGGAGAATCACAAAGATAGAAAATGGAATGGCTCCTGTGCTGTGACTACCCCACAATAGGAAATTCAAAGTAGTCAGAATCATAAAGGCAATTCCGGGGAAGAAACAAGCAACCTTCCATGAGACCGAGACCCATCCCTTTTGATCTCCACAACCAATTGTCCTCCAAAGACGAACAGCAACATAACCAGCTGCAACACCAAGGATCATAAAGAAAAACAGCATCCCTGTGATAAGTGTCCCACGAGAAGCAGGTGACATGAACCCTAGAGCAGCAAAGAGTATGGTCACCAATGCCATCCCAAGGATCTGAACCCCATCACCAACCATTATACACAACAGGGCAGGGTTGCTTGGAGCACGGAAAACATCCCCTACAACAAGCTTCCAGCCAGACAACTCCTCATTCATCTGTGCTTGAGCCTCTTTGTCAAGCTCTTCATAACGAGTTAGATCCCGCCGAACAGTTCTCAAAAAGATCACAAGGACAATACCAGCAAGGAAAGTAATCACCATCAGAGAATTGAGAATAGAGAACCAATGTACTTTGGCTCCCTCCATCTTCAGATAAGCATCCCACCGTGAGGGCCACTTGATGTCACTCTCCTCAAATTCAACCTCATAAGTGAATACAACCGACTGCTTTTCATTAATCGGCATTGCCACAGTGGTGGGATCACACAGGATCTTAGCAGGGTACTTTTCATACATTTTCAACTTCTTCACAGAATCCACATTGTGCATGAAACTGCAAGGTATCACCTCAAACCCAACAATGATATAACCGGGCTCATCTGAATCTGATTTAGCAATTGTTGGGATCACCTCCGCCCCCTCGCCAGTACCCATCACACGTGCTACATTGGGCTCTTCATACTTATGAACAAGCACCTTAAACTTCAAATGGTTAAACACGTAGTACACATCCTTAACCTTAATTCCCACAGGATACCCAGTCCACCGCAACAAAAATCCCTCCTTCTTGGTATATCGGATTGCAGGCAAATTATCAAGAATCAGATTGACCTGATACATCTCATCAATCCTCTTCTTCAAGAGACTGAACTGATCCGCCGACAACGGATCCGTCTGACACAAGAAGATCTCAGTCTCATTGGTATGCATCTTAAACCGATATGGAGAGCTCTCAATGCGGTCCCCCATGAGGAACTCACCGAGATTCTCGGCACTGTCCTTAACACCATCTGGGGGCTGACAAAAGGGGAGACTGTAATAGCTATAGGGTAGCTCGGTATCAATGGAAGTCAGAGAATTCACTTTCACCCCTAAGTTGTCCCCAACAAGGTACTTGTGAGGGTAACTACCCGGAAGGTAAAACCCATATCCGGATTCAAAAATCAACAAAATGGTAAACACCCAAATCGTAAATCGACGAGAAACGTCCATTCTTCAATGTTTGAGTCAGATCTGGGAGAACCCAGAAGAGAAAATACGCAACAAAAACAAAAAATCAGCACATTTTCCCTATGGGTTTTCGAATTCAACCAAAATTCAATCACAAAAGCTAATCAAAACTATAACTTTCACAGCACTAAAGATCTATAAACAACCAAATAAACAGCAAAAGAACTAAAAATTCCATCTTTTTATTTACCCATATGAAGTGAGGAAGGATCTGCACTGACCTTTATTGGAGTGCCAGACATGGACAACCTGGAGAGCGCGTTCTGAGAAATGGAGCAGCAGAGCGAGATCTTGAAGCTCCGCAAATCTGATGGGTTTTTTGGGATTTTAGGAAGGAAGACGAGACAAATGCAAGTGAACGTATAATGGGGTGCAAGTTTTATACGGTTGGATTTTCTTCAGAAGAGTGCCTAACTTTTTCTGGACGGATCTCCGCTCTCCTTTTACATTTAAGTTGCCATTTTAATTAATTAAATTTATGTCATTTTCCTAGAATTGCCATTTTGCCTAATTTTTTCCTCGATGAGACTTTTATTTTTTATTTGTTTTGTCACATTTATTTATTTGAGAACGTTGTTGTTAAGTCATTAACACGCCCGTTAGTCAAAGTTTATGTATTTGAGTTTCGCTTAATCAACAAGGTCGCTTCTGTTTTTTTGAAGAAAAAAAAAACACATCGGTTAAAGAGCTTATAAATCAAATAAAGAAGAAAGTAACATTGTTTTTGTTTTCCAAAAAACTTGCATTAGAACAATTCAGAAAAGAAAAAAAAAAACTTACTTATACGATTTATATTTTTTTGTTAAAATATGCACATAATTGAATAATTGATAAGATGTTACGTTTTTAGTGACTCGATTTGATATTTCTCTATTTATAAAGTCATGAGGCAAGTTCATTGTACTTTGTCGCGACTTTCTTTGGTACATTTAGACGATTTGAAATATACTCTCGATTGTTAGGTCCAATTTGAAACTTGTGGTAGAAAATAATAAAGTTACTATAATATTACTTGATAGAAAGTAAATGATATTAGTAAATCACACTCGTGCGTGTTATTCACGAACGACGACTTCGATAAACTCCAATATTAAAATGGCCAAGAATCAAGCACTAGGATTCATGAGTTGGTCAATGGATTTGAGGTTGGCCGTCTAGTAAGTTACCTTCTCCTCGGAAAAATAAAACTAATAGAATAATACATAACATAGAATTGAACCCCTTTTCACGTTTAGATAAAGACAAGTGGTAAAGAGACACCCAAAAATGATGTCGTCGTGGTTTTTCTGTTACGTTATGTTTTTTACATCATGATTTATAATATTTGTATGAGAATTGATGTTAAATTTAAACTGGCAAAAAATTCATAAAGAATCATCTTTTAAGAAAGTCTTTTTATAGCATTTGCTAAACTATTTGGATCTACGAAACAAGAACTTGAAAGGAGCCTTTACTAACTGGCCTAAACAAGAATACGTAGTCATCTTCCATATTTTACATATTATGCTCTCCCATTGTGTCAAATTAGATGGTTGATGTTATTCTTTCATGTGCACATCTCACGTGTTAATGGAATCCCAAATTTGGTGCACAATATGATTGCTTGCAAGATAATTCAGCTGCAAATGGGTGAATAGTATTCCATGAACCACCACGGCTGTCAAAACCAGCCCCCAAAGAAGGAACCGGAAAAATACTTCCGCGACCCGGTTTCGATATCCCTTCTTCGTGTCTCCTCATTTGTGGCACATTTACGTAATGATAATCGAAATAAAAACGCGGAACTGAATTCCGATTACAGATTAGTAAATGAGTCATTAGTGCATCTGCATCACGTGAGAGAGAGAGAGAGAGAGAGAATGAACCGGGGATGGTAAAAGCCAGGGCAGAGAAATTCCTCTCAAGAAGAAATTGCAGGAACGGTTTGAATCAGGAATAAAGACAGAAACCTCACATGGTGGCTTTTGATGGTCACCATGCCACATGCTTTATTTTCAATGATAAAAATTGAATGTACAGATCTATGGTGAATAAAAAAACCTCTAAGTTAATATTGATGATAATACACATGCATAATTGCATATGCAGATTTAGAACAAGAAGAAGTAAGCAATTATAAATTAAAATTAAAATTCACTTAACCTGAGGTACCTAATCCCCTCGACTTCGGTAGCCTGACTGCAGCCAGAGGGTAGACAATGCCTTGTGAATCTTTCCCCAACCCCATGCCTTCAACAAAACCCATTTTCGCCATCATCTTCGATCCAAATCCTTTGGTATGCTTTTCGAAAGATCCAACTCTTTCACTCTGAGTTTGAGAACTCTGAGCCTGAGATCTTCTTCTTACCGGGATATTCTTTACTGGGGGTGTTTTACTGACTGGGATCTCAACGGGGGTGGAGAATTCCACACCCAAGCCAAGTGATTTAGGCCGTTGGATCACTTCGATGGGTGCAGCCATACCTTGTCCATCTTTTCCTAAGCCACCACCTTCTATGTATCCCATTTTAGCCAGCATTTTTGATCCAAAACCCTTAGTGTGTACCTCAAAGGAACGATATTCAGTTGACTCAGCAGCAACCTTGTTTTTACTTGCTTCTATTGAGTCAACAGTTAAACCCTCAGCCGCTGATTGCATTACGCCACTTGACACAAATGATACTGGTGTATTAGCATATGAATCCATATTCCCACTGCCACGTTTGGCTGACGTTTTCGGCGTCTTTCTTTGGCTGGATTGTTTAGATTCCGGTGTCTTAAAATCAATTCCTTTTCCAATTTTCCTTGGCCTGTTTTTGTCTCTACCAGGCTCAACAACAGAGAAATCAGCATCCTCCATGTCAGCTCCAATCAGCTGAAATATAGAAAACAATCACTGAATTTTGCTGCACATGCATACGTAGAGGATCGAAGTACTTAGTGATTATATTTCAGAGCAGAACAAAGAAGACAACGAGAAACACAAACTATGAAAAATGCAGAGCCAGACCATACAATACACTAATTGTAATTTGTAACCATGAATCGTGATTAACCTTTTCAAGACAAAGTCTATCACTTGCAGATGGCATGCCAGTGTGTTGTGTCTGCATCACTGTCACAAATCTGGGAAAGGAAAAAAACATCAATTCCATGTTTTCTTTGTTTAACTATAATTCACGAAACAAAATTATTTACCTCTTCTTGCCAGATCCTTGGCAGGAACTCCTCAGGCCATACATTCCGGATAATCGCTGAACCTAAAATATCCAAAAGCACAAACTATCAAAGAAAAGTAAACACTTGACGGACATGAAGTGACCACAGAAAGTGCAAAAGGTAAAACTATGAGGATCAAATAAGTTACAAACGGAAAATTGAAGAGATCAATCGAAATTCCATACCTGGGAACAATCCCGGGAATGCATAGGCTGAAAAGAAAACATATCTACTGCATCTGAAACAATTTGCTCCATTTTCTAAAATAGAAAAGAACAAAGCTGTCATATAGTCCAAATATAAAGCATTGCACGATACATATTCCATGAGTGTACCAGCACACAACTTCACACAAAACAACAAAGCAGTATACCAGATTTATTTGCTCAAGATCAACACCTTGGCGCAGCATTCTCTCCTTACGCTTCACAGCCATCATTTCTTTACGATGTTTCTTTTTTGTCCCTGAATGGAAAGTCAGTTAGAAGTTAGAACAATAGATAGCATAAGCCAAAGGCATGAATGACAATCCACCTAAAAGAATAACAATATCATACAGGAATCCTGTTTTTGATAAACAGACAGTCCTCAGACATTTATTACCCCATGATATGTGGGCAAATTTGCCCGCAAAGTCATTCAAATTGAGATCCTAAGTTCATAACTATCCACTTCTCATCATACTCATCAAAGGATACTAGGGATACTAGAAACTATGGATATATGAGAAAGCTCATTTGCTTCCCCAACTGAAAAGAAAAAGCACTTAAATGTAAAACGTTTTTAATCGCTGAAATTCATTACGAACTTGGCTCTGCTGTATCACATCCCCTTCATGGAACAGACACATGTTAACCAAGTTAAACATATGCAAGCAGCTTATAAAGATAAAGATATCTTAGCAATCTTATACCAGGAAAATGTCTTGAGAATTTACTCCTTTGAGCTTCTGCAGGCCAAGACTGAGGAAATTTGGCAACAGGTTTCTTTTTGGAATAATTTCTTGTATCCTTTACAAGCATTAGGTCATCTATAGCCAAAGACCGAGCATGTCTTTCAGTCACATTGTATTTCTTTTGTGACTGGACCTTCTTCCTACCGTACTCCCTAGATGCATCCTGAAGAGCAATTCCGCCCAACTTCTGCAAAGTCTCATCAAAGCCCTTCCTCAAAGAGCTATTCTTATCCGGCTCATCCAAATCCTGTTCCACCAAAAATTTGGAACTTAAGATGTTGTAACTACCACCAATTCCCACTAAATAATCGTCTGCAACCTCGTCATCTATATCTGAATCACTATCAGACAAGTCTTCACTTTCAGAGGATCCAAGTCGTTCTCCAGACTTAGAAGAGCCTGAGCTTCCTTCATACAGTGACTCTCCATTTTCATCTTCTTCACTTTCTTCATCAGAAATATCTTGGGTGTATAATCTCATGCCACCAATTGACAAAAAGCCTGAGTTCCTCTTGGGCGACAACATCTCTGTTGTCATCTCTTCAGCCATCTCATCATCGCCAACTTCACAATCCATCCCATCATTGGCATCCATATGTTTCTCAGAAGATTGCAAGTTAAAACATGAATCTTCTGGCTCTTCCATTTGCTTTGAGGAATCTTCAACACCACTTGGGGTTTCCTCAAGTTCATCAGAGAACCCTAGCCCTCTATGAGAGCTTTCACCTAACACAAAACTTGAACCGTAGTGATAAGTAAATTCCACTTCATAGGGGCTTGACGGTTGTGTTTGGTCCCCATGAGCTAAAATTTGGGTATCCTTGTAATCAACTAAAACCAAAGGGCATGACTCGTCCATATCTTTGTCTGCATCACTACCCTTGCGTAATTCTGAATAGAAACCCTCCTGTTTAAAACCAAAGCATATCCAAACTACATGAATGCAGAACCAATGCTCCTACTTAATTGTTAACAAAAAAAAGAATATCCAATGCATCAATAATTTCACAATTATCTACGTACACATTCTCCAAAGTGACCAAAACAGAACCTCAAACATCTCACCACATTTAACAAGTGCATACGTTATGCTTCAAACATCGCTTGCCACTGGCGGATGCATATAGGGACCCAGGGGGTCCCGGGACCCTTCGGAAGCCCGAAGAAACACTTGTGATCGACCTTCGGGACCCTCCAACAATTTGGGCAGGTGAGTTACCCTATTCCCCACAACCATTTGCCGTTCCACCGCCTTTAGCTGCCTAATTTTATTTCTTCCAAATTCATATAAGTTTTTTAATCCTAGACTCTAGTCCCAACTCCCAATTAATAATATATACATTACATTAACAAATTTTATCTTTGTAGAGTCACTAATTGAGTTATGTTGCTGAGGAGAATTTGTTGGTTTTATTACCTTTGAGATTAATCTTGATTTATTCAATGAACCAAATTCAATAGGAAATAGTGATATGGAACCAAATTAGGCTAATATATTTTTTTTGAATTTTTATGTTGGGACCCCGATCTTGAAATCCTGGATCCGCCACTGTCGCTTGCAGTGACTTAAATTAGCAATATACGACAAACTTCCCCACGAACTAACTATTGTTCAAACAAAGAACAAAACTTTCGATGAACTATAATTTACGTAAACAACAGCATGAGGAAAGTGTTAACTGCTTAAGCTTAGTCATATTTTCTTCACTACAAACACAAAATGCTAATAACTAAAATTTCCACACAACTTAGAACCCAATCCATTAAAACAAATAATTTTTTGCAAAATCAATTTAAATCTCAGATCATACAGCTAAAAATGTATTTGGTACGACAAAATACACAAAAAAAAAGAAAAAAAAGAAAGACATTTTCTCTTGTATTGAAAAAATAAATAAATCAGGAAGAAGCTTTTGAGCCAATAGGACACACCTGAAATTCAACAGAAGGGTATTGGAACCCTATAGCGGTAACATTAGATCCCCGAGAATCACTTTTCGACCCAGAAGCTGCTTTTGCTACAGATTTCGTAGCAGATTTGTTGCTCGAACTCGGATTTTTCCCTGAAATTCAAAATTCAATAAAAGTTTGAATCTTTTCCGATAGGGAAACATTATCGGTTGTAATTGAATAAAAAATATCCACTTCAAATCTCAGTATCCTTTAGTTCCCCGGAAACCAAACAGAAAATTAGCAAACTACTATCTTTTGATAGAGATATAGGAACGACCTCGCTGAGCGGTTTGAGGGTATGACCAATCGGATAAAACGCCGCCCTCCACGAGCAGACCTCCTCGAAATTTGGATTTTGACGACGACGATGACGATGCTCTTCTCCTACCGCTGCTCCAATTTAAGTTGCTGCTGTCGTTGCTGTTGGGTCTTCTTCTTCCTCTGCCTCCAGCCATGGCTGCGCTCTGAGCTTTTGCGCTGTTGCCGCCACACAGAGAAGGTCTGATGAAAAAATAATGAGAGTTTTTGGATCTGCAGTCCGACGGACGCGTGCGGTTCTATCCGCACCGTTGAGGAGGATGAACCAGTCGGTGACTTCGTGGCGCGGACAGCTCTGATGCGACTGGTCTTTTCCTTTGTTTTTTTTTTTTTTTTTTTCCTTCAGGAGGGAGGGTTGGAAGATGCAGTAGGAATATGCTTGGCTTCAGAATCTTAAGAAGATGGACAAGGCCCAAACTCAAATGGTTCAAACATTGACCCAAGCCCAAACTTAAGTGGTCCAAAACGTGATTCGAGCCCAAAAACAGTTTGCGAACTATGTTTGGAGTTGGGGTTTTAGGCCCTGCACTGAGTCTTCTGATGCGTCCGAGTTGCACCCAACAAGTTATTATCTCTTCCACATGGCATTGCAAAGCCCACCTAGGCTTTTTCTTTGGTGTAATGAATGGTGTGATAAATGATATGTATATGTCATGTCAGTTAATAAGTTTATTTCATTGGATCTAAGTTTTATGCGTCAATTCACACATCATGTTATATACAATATGTTTTATAGCCTCAATTTTTTTACCTGTCACATACCCCTCTTAATTTTCAGCCGTCGGATTGAATGAATTGAACAAGATCAATTGACAAAAATTAATAAAGGTGTGTAAGAGACAAAAAAAAAGTATGTGAATAGCATTATCCTACAAAAATGTTGGATTCCCAACATTACTCTACTAAAACGGAATGACCTAACCGTAGAGAAAGAAAGTTTACCAATAAGAAAGAAATATAATGACAAATTGATGCATTATACTCTTTTCAAAACAAAATTTAGAAGTCTACTATGGTCTATATGTATTTTTTTTTCATTGATAAATGAGAGGTCTTAAGTTTCATTCTTGTTAAAAGCGGGTCAAATCAAATTATTGTGGATGACTCGTTTTGTGACTTAGCCCAAGTGTCACCATCCTCTTAGTGTAAATATATCATTGCATTAATTAAAAAAACAAAAATTCAGAAAAATTAAGATATATGATTTGGAATATCCCCATTCGATATTTGATTAAATTACGATATATATATATATATATATATATATATATATATATATATATATATATATATATATATATATATATATATAAAGGAATGATCAAGCTCACCAATATGATCATGCTGTGATAATTTCCCTTTTGAGTGGTGAAGTGGACCACTGCCTAGCTGGAGTACCTAAGAAAATTTGGTACTTGGGGAGGTGGAACTTAATAAAGATTATATATATTGAAGGTCTTACCAATAATCATCAGTTGGTTACCCATATAGTGGTTAGCGTTAGAGGGTTGTTGGATTGAATCTTTTTCTTTTTCTTGGCTGGCTTTGGTTGCCGTTTAATGGTGCAAAGTTTTAATTAATATTTATAAGCAAATGCAGTTGGAAGAAAATGAAAAGAACCTCCCATGAATTAAATAGATGTGACCACAGACGGGCATGCATTGGCCATATACATATATAAATTTGGTAGAATTGGTACATATTAGCTTAGATTTTGCCGATTTTATTAACTGGAAAGCTTTTTCCCTATAGAAGATGACGATATGCGTAAGTCTCTCTCAACGGAATATTGTGTTATTAGTTTAAAATGTCTGGATATATCTTGTTACATATCAATTTTCTCTTAGGGTGGGGGAATTTTCTGGTGTAACTATAACTGCGTTTTGTATATGTAATACACAAATATAAGTATATTCACTAATTCTATATTCTAAAATGCAAACTATTTAGGCTTGTTTGATTTTATTGTTTTCAGTCATGTGAGCTTGCATACGGATTATGCAAGATTTTGTTGAAGTGAGTTATTTTAGCAGTTTGTGTGACTTTTGTCTGTTTTAGTTGACATTTTTGAAATTGTTGTTTTTAAAATCATGTTGATATTTGTGTATTGTACATGTTTTTTATATGTATTTTTTCAAGGAATATCGTTGATTTGATAAATTATAAATTCCGCACACACACACACATATATATATATATATTATATTATGATACATAAATTAATAACATTGTATAATATTATTGCGACATATGAGTTGGTAACACGCCGTAACCCTAGTATATGTATCACAACTACGTGATTCTCCGTTCTCCAAGTCCAACATAGCATGTAGCTGTAGGTATGGTATGCATGCCCAATTATTCTCTCTGCCTTTATTTTTTAGGATAACTAATGAAAAAAGTTTGAAAACTTTGAGTTTTAACAATAAGGACAAAATAAAGGGTAAAGTGAATAATATTAGGATTGACTTTTTAGTATAAAAATGTAATTTTTCATTAAAATAAACAGTATCAGAAATTTTTCGTTAAAGTTCATTTCTTTTTTTCTCCACCCCTTCAGTAAATTGCATTTACTATTTCCTGCTAAGATCGTCAATCGTGATGCTTTGGCATCACCTTTCCAATGCTCACATGGGTTGCTTAGAGTCTCACATGATAGTGCAGAAGTATCCGTCCATTTGTTGCTGCATGCTACTTGGTTCCCAGACCCGATCCCAAATGCTATTTTCCTTCTGACATCAGAAAATCTTAACCGTTGATTATTATTTCTTTAATTTAGCTAATATAAATATTCATTTGCATCTTTAATTAGTTCTTAATCCCAAGCAACAATACAATACTTTAGCTAGCTGGTGTTGGTGTTGAATCCAAAGGAATCAAAGTGCATGCATGTTCTTTAATTTTCTACAAGCATCCTTTTTATTTTCTTTTTATTTTTCCATTTTTTGGTCAACAATTTTTACAAGCATCGTACATACATTAGAATTGTTTAAGAAAGATCGCGTAATATTATAATTCACTCACATTACTGTACACTTGCTTATAATTTATTGTTTACTCATATTATAATATGCAAATTAATTAATATAGCAGATTTTTCTAGGCATACTCCCATTTCAATGTAATGCATGTGTCAAATTGTTGACCCTAAAAACTATCAAGCTTACGTGGCGCGTATGCCGAGTAACTAATGAGCTAACTACGTCTTTCGGTTATGTGTGGGACATGCCAACTCGTTGACCGAGCTTGGCCGGGGAGTAAAAATGTGTTGATGTTGCATTGAGCGCGTTGCTGACTTCTTGATCTTGCGACTGCGGTCGAGGAAGGAACACGTCTCGGCCTTCGGGTTCTAGAGCCTGAAGACAAGGCTGCTAGTTCTGTGAAGTTCACGGATCGTCGGCACTAGGTTCGATCATGGTGATTATATTCGTGAGAGTATAAGCACGCCAAACTGGCTCCAAACTATACGGACACAAGTACTCAAAAGAGATATATGTCTTGATGGTGAATGTGGTTCGGTCGTTAGAATGCCGAACTCTAAAACTTACTTGTGAATATCCTATCATAAAACTCGGCGTTCAATGTGACGAGCCCAGTAACTTGTAACACCTCACTTCGCCGAAAAGGCTAATGAGATAACCTCTACCAACAAAGACTCGAAAATCCTTGTCGGCCGAGACTTGGATAGGTAATCAGTCGGCCTCGATGCAGTACTGTTTATCCAAACTGAAGGTGTTCATCGGTCGGCTGATTCTACGGCTCCAGTGCTGTTTATCTAAACTAAAGGTGTCGCCGATTGCCTTTACAGTGCTGTTTATCCAAACTGAAGATGTGTAGGCGAAAAAAGAAAATAAATATCTCAAGGTTGTTGAGAGGTTTCGCGTAGAGCGAGGGTTTGCGCAAGGTAGTTTTTGTGTTGAATTGGAGGGGGTTTTCTTGTTGACATTGCCTCTGTATTTATAGGGACAAAGTATTTACTAACCGACCGGTGCAATTCCGGCCCAAAGCAGAACACTCCTTTGAGATAGCTATCATAAGCCCTTGTCGTCATCTTGACATCTTGGAATAGTTGACAATTGCATTCTCCTTGTATTCAGACTAGATACACTAGTCTCCTGATAAGACTCGTATTTAGAATTGTAGCCAACTTCAAACTCCTAGGCACCACGCACCATATCTTATCACCCATCCACCAGATCATCTATGATTCTACATGCATGAATTGCATGGAAAATGGTCTCCTAATTCCCTACGTACATGCATGAATCCAATCCTTTTATCTCCAAACCCACGTGCACCAATCCCATCCATGAATTCCAAGTCAATTTGAATTGTACCACCCACTTCTGTATCAGAAATAGGACTTAGGTTTTGATAATAATTAGCCACGTAGGAGATTGCATGCACTTGGGGCATGATAAGATGAACCTATTCAAATGTCCTCGTGTGATCCTTTGAAGACGGATCAGATCATCTTTTTCCAAAACAACCAATTGGATATATCAAATATTAGGTTTAAATATCCTAGTTAATATTAAGGGATAATATTATGATTTAAAAACACAATATTATTCCTCAATAATAACTAAAAATCATTTCAACCACTTTATCATCCAACGGTCTAATATCTGCTTATTCAACGGCCTCGATTGCTCAGACTGATAGTGTAAAATTAGGTCCAAACACAAATTCAAGCCACAAAAATTCTCATTAACACAAGTAAGTCAATAGCTCCACGAAAGTTGATCTTTCGTCTTGAGAAGTAATGTAGATAGATACTTCATCCCACAAATTGCCAAAAAAAATTGGTTTTTTGCATGATTGGTGAACGAGATATTTTTTAGGATCAACACCATTCTAGCAATACGGCAGCAATATATAGTATACCAAATACATACACAAACAAGTACACCGATAAATAATTGCTAAGCTAATCCTCTCCTCACGCCTCACATATATGATGAGTTTGAGTTTAGGGTGACCTAATTAGAATTTTAGTTTTTCAAAGTGTTTTAATCACATTACCACATGATGTTACTAGAGACTCATTTGAGTCTGCTTATCTTAAGTGCATATACGTTCATAAACATTTATAGCATAAACAAGGTGAAACTGTAATTAAACTTTTGAGCAATGACACATGCTATTTCAGAAAACACTTGTATCACATGGACGTACCTTCAAATTTTGTTGCTAAATGCATACATAAGTAATTTCGGTTGTCTAAAAGCATCTTCAAGGGAAGAGCCAAAAAATTCATATAAGCAATAACAGTTAAAAAGACAAGAATTAAGATAAGCAGACTCAAACAAGTCCACATCAGCAATTACAATCATGAAAAGTAAATAGTGTA